ATGAAACAAAAATTCAGAGAGCTAAAGCAATGGTTTAGAGTCTTAAGGACCCTTCCCATTTGGGGTGAGGCCTGGGGAAGAGAAATGAAGTTAGCAGAGCCGTCCTCTGTCTTCCTTCCAAACCAGCATGGTTTGAGGCATGTAATAGGTGCTCACATTTAATACAGATGGGAGGAAGTCCACACCCTCTTCCTATGTTAGTGTGTCTAAATATTTGTGCTATATTCAGGCTTTTTCTAGAAACTATACTCCCATGGAATGTAGTAATCTCCCTCTCACTCTGGTGAAAGAGAAACTGAGGAAAGAATCAGAGAACACACATTCCTGAGAAGAAAACAGAAATTAGTCAGCACTTCCTATGAAAATAAATACAGAGCCAATGCATGGGAGTAGTCAGAGTCTCACTCTGTCACCCAGGCTGCCATGCAGTGGCACGATCCCAGCTCATAACAACCTCAAACTCCTGGCCTCAAGTGATCCTCCCACCTCAGCCTCCCAACTAGGAATTACCAGTGTGCACCATGACACTGGGCTAATTTTTTGATTTTTTTGTAAAGACAAGGTCTTATTATGTTGCCCAGGCTGGTCTCAAACTCCTAGATTTAAGCAATTCTTTCACCTTGGTTTCTCATAGTGCTGGGATTATAGGAGTAAGCATCATGCCCAGCCTTATTTCATTGTTTTTTCTAAGTTTTTTTTTTTAATGAAGAGTTGCCATATTTTGGCCTATTTATTTATATATTTTAAAAACCCAATTGACAAATAAGTATTGTATGTATTTCAGAAGTACAACATGATAGGGGGACCCAAAAAAACCCCATAATTAGCTTATACAAAATTGTATACTTATTCTTACACGTTTAAACTTTAGTCACCTTCAAAGCACCCTCTGTTTGATGCAATACACCTATCGAGATGCTTTTTCCACTGCTCAGAACACTTTTTAAACTTGCCAATTTTGATGCCTTTTAGTGCTTCTGCTGTTCTTTGTTTCACCTCTTCCAAATCAGTGAAACGTTTCCCTTTGAGAACTTTTTTCATTGGGGAAACAAAAAAAAAGTTGCTTGGGATGAGGTCGGGTGACTAGGGAGGGTGGAGCAGAGGGCCATGCCATCTTTGGTCAAAAACTGCTGAACACTCAGCATGGTGTGGGCAGGTTGTTTGTGTAAATCACCTATCGTGAAACGGGCAAACACATTGAAGGAATCACTAATAAAAAAAAATTCCCTAAAGCTGAATGCAGCCTCTCACAACAACGCTAGCTGGTGCACTGATGCTGTTGGGGTCTGGAACACTTACCTAGTGGGTGAAGCCGGTACTCCAAGGGACCTCCCTCCAAAAAATAATTCCATTTTTCGAGGGTTCCCCTTCATATCCTGTGTAATGATTACCACAACCAAATTAGTTGACACATCTCTGGCCACCCATGCTGTACTTTAGGGTCCCAGGACTTGTTAATCTTGTAATTGAATATTTTGTACTCTTTGACCAATATCTCCGCATTTTTTTCACTGTTCAGGTCCTTATGACTGAACCCTGGCTCAGCTGTCTGAAAATAGATGCTGACACTAACAGAAGATATTTAACAGGGCCCTACTGAAATGAAGTTCTAAGAGCTAAAACTCAAAAGCAAAGTGAAATTGGTGAAGATTTGTCAAGTCACAAATGTGAGTGAACTCATGCCCCGTATTTCCTCCTCAGCTGATTTGCTCATTTTTAGTTTCCTTTTTTTTTGAACCCCACTACTAATTTGGTGTCTTTCATCTGGAACCTGAGAAGTCACTGGCCTTGAAGCATAAAACCAAATTCTTCAGCTGAATTGAACTGGATTTAGGAAAAAAAAAAAACAATATTTATAGGGGACTTCTATGTATTTATACACCTAAGGTATGTACGCAGCACCTGTCTCTATGTTATCTCTGAATATAGAGAGAAGTTAACTAGCAGACCAAATAGTTTCAGGCTATGGGAGGAAGAAAAAAAATTGTCTAGGAGGAATCAAGAAGCCCTCTGTGAGAGAAGAGACTTAGAATAAAGCTTTGAAAGTTCAGATGGAAAAAAAAAAAGCAGATATATGCCATAATCTTGAGATTTTCACAGGTGCATGAATCCACAGACCTGTGTTCAGCACATTTTGTCAAGGAAAGAGATTGAGTAAGGAGAGCAGGAAAAAGTAAAAAAGAGTTTGTTCAGTGAAGAAAATTTGAGGGTTATTACGACAGGTCTTCAGAACCAGCCATGGGAAGTCTCGTGAATAATGAGAATTAGACCTTTCACCAAAAAGGGCATTGTTCCAGAGTATGTTATCCATAGATGATAGAGTCACCTGTGTAAACATGTGTGTGTTTACTGTGTGCTCACCTAAGTTACCAGTAGCACATATTAATCAAATAGCAGAACCCCTCCATCCGCTTTTCTATTACCTGTCCTACTTTGTGCCAATTTCTTTTCTCCTCCCCAACACCCTTTGCTTCACTGTTCTTCTTTAAGACATGGGATGGGGATTTGTCAAAGTCAATGAGCACTTTATTACAGTGAGAACGTTCTGTAATGAACAATTCAGCAATTTAATGAGATTCTGTAGATCTGTCTCCAGCCTGTCCATCAAGTTTCACTTCTATAAAGCACCCTGACACTAATCCTCTGGCATACCCAATCTCCACCCTGGGCTGAATATTAGATTCTTCCATGGTATATTGCATTACTAGTATAACTTCAGCAAAAATGATGAACTTAACTATACTTGAGGCAAAATAGCTGGTCTGATTTGATTTATCTCTATTGGGTTGAATATGAGGGAATTCCTTATTTACTAAGATAAAGCAAAAACAGTTTCTTATTGCCCGCTGAATGCCTAAATTGATAATATTTATGTGAGTCTTTAAATTCTTTCTTGAGGACCAGGTATTAAGAAAAATTTATTGCCTGCAGCAGAAACCGGCTTTTAAAATTCTACATTATCATATTAGTAACCTTTAGAGAGGCAATTATGATAACTCTTAAGTGGACAGTATGGAATTTTCTTGACACTCAGACATCTGCACATTACTATGTCGATCTCTGGCAGTGCCTTAACTGTACCACAAAAAAGAGATAGAAGCCACAAAGAAGGTTGGCCTCAGATCTCAATTCAGTTAGAAAAATTAAATGCAGGACTCATTCCAAATCTTTCTTTTTCCCTTAGGAAGGGAAGAAAATTTGGCTACTTCTCTCTTTAAATGGACTAAGGAAAATTCTGTTGATTTATGTTTACAGAGGAGCGCTGCAGACAATTGAAATTACGACCTGAAACATATCCTCACCAATACTTTCAGCTTCTTTCTGAACAAACATTACCGGAAATACCCAAAAAGCAGCAGCAACAATTTATGGCTTGCTTTTTTTTTGTCCCTATATTTTCTTTGTTAAGACAGTGTGGAAGAGTGAAGACATAGGGGCTGGTGTCAGCGACGCAAAGTCGGAGGCTGGCTCTGCTCTAAGCAAGGGACGGAAACGTTCCTTTGTTCATTTGGAAGATGAGGGTGATCATAGCCATTCGTCAGGCCTATTGTCAGTCAGTTTTCAAAGAGCCTGGGACCCAGAAGACCTTCAGTATACTGCAGCTCTTATTTTATCTATTGATGGATGGAGTTGAAGTCTCACTCTGTTGCCCAGGCTGGAAGGCAGTGGCACAATCATGGCTTACCTCGGCCTCAACCTCCTGGGCTCAAACAATCCTCCTACCTCAGCCTCTTGAGTAGCTTGGACTACAGGTATTCGCCCCGACACCTAGCTGGCTTTTTTTAATTTTATAGAGATGAGGTCTCTCAGCTTGTCTTGTACTCCTGGCCTCAAGCGATCCTCCCATCTCAGTCTCCCAAAGTGCTGGAATTACAGACGTAAGCCAACATGTCTGGCCTGCAGCTCTTATTAACCTCACCGGTGGAAGCAATATGAAGAGGTACATTACTGATTAAAGCAATACACATCATGAAATAAGGGAAAAAGGCATCAGGAAAATCATCCATCAGTAGAGTCAGGTGCTGGATGATGAACAGCTACCTATGACTCTGTTTTGACTGGAATTCAAGGACTCTCTAAATCCCATTTGGTAAGATACCAGGAATTCACTGTTTCATCAGCTGATAGATGATGTGAAAATTTCCCTTGTAGTCTATATATACCTATTTTTCAAATGGTTGTGAAATCTTGAAGGCATGGCGCCCTAGAAATAACAAAACAGCTAGTCCGTGCTTCAGAGAGTGAGATAGACAGACAGTGGAAGAGGAAGGGAAGGGGAACAATGGGCTCTGACTATTCCCCAACGACCGTGTGGATTGTTCAAGGATGGTCACTGGGGATGCACAGAAGAGGATTTAAATTGAATAATCAACTTCAAAACACAAAACGTCCTACTGTCCTCTAGACAAAGGAGCAACACAATATGAAAAGAATGCTATGTCAGGTGAAAGGAAAGGCTTAGGCAGACAGCCACGAATGCAGAATGAACTAAGGAGGGAGATTTTTCCATGGCGGTACAAGAAGAGCTTCATTTCATCCCAGGTCCAAGCTGTTCTCCTTTGCAACAAAGAAATGTGTTACATTTCTGAATTGTTTACAGGCAAGCCCAGAATTTATTCTGATTCTACTGGTCCTGAATATGCATCAGTATCACTTTGCAATTCATTTTTCTTAGACTCAGTTTAGGAAACTATTTTTACCAGCGGGGTGGGGGGAATCCCTTGACGCTGATGGGACCATGTTAGGTTTCTGGGAAGCCACAGCGAGGGGTTCAGGAATCTCACCTGCGATTCCCTAGGCGGCAGAGTTAGCTGAGGGCGCCGAGCCTGGAGGGCTAGCGTTCTCTGATCACTTGGCCATCAAGCAAGCACGACTTCTGACACTTCCACCCCACGAGGACCAAACCAGATAAAACAGTGGCCGTCACTCCTCCATCCTTTAACTTCTAGTCATGTCATGACTTGTTGACTCCAAGAGAGGACCAAGCCGAGCACCCTTACCTGCCAGATCTGCTCTTCACTCAGGGAGGTCAGGCGGTCGCTCTTCAGGACTTCCTGGAGCAGGCAGTAAGGTAGCGTGAGAACATCTTCTGGGCGGCTCTTCAGGAGTTCAGAGAGGTGTTTCACTAAGAAATCAATCACCGCTTTCTCCAGCAAAGTGAGGTTAAAGAGGTCAGCAAGTCTGTACAGATCCAAGTAATTAAAGCTATTTAATTCCTGGGTGCCAAAAACACAAAAATGAAAAAAAAAAAAAAAAAAGATCTCTTAGAAATCAATCCAAGAAAGAGCAGGCAAGAAATTGTGATGGACTCCCAAAGGCTTACATGACGGAGTGGGAGAAATGGGACTGCTAACGGAAGAAAATAAAGAATCTCTATTATAACGCCCTGGATAGAGAATTGCTGTTCTAGAATTCATAATTTTTCCTCATTTTACTTCTCTTGAAAGCTATATAATTAAAAACATCTCAATGAAGGGAGTGAGAGGAGTGTCTGGTTGCATGGTCTGAAGTTAACATTAACTTTGAAATTAACATAACTTTGCAACTTTTAGAAACAGTTTACTAAGGAATTCATTTTTCTACCTTACCATATTTTACAGCTCTCTTTTTTTCTGCTAAAGAAATGTAAGGGCAGGTAAACCAGGACTTGAGGTTAGATGACACAAATTATATAAAGATAGACTGATTCTGCTCTTTTTCCAAAACTTCAAACTCAGTATGTCTTTGAGTAAAAACAACCCATCCTGAATGAATTGAAATACAGTTTTACACGTTAGGTCTCAGTTAAGGAGGAAATTTCACAGAAAAGACTCCTGCCCCAAATCCTTCAATACGGAGTCTACTTAGAGGGATGGTTAGTAATTGTTCTTTGTTAGTCTTATTCAGTCCACCCAGTGGCATTCTTGCCCACCTTTACAAAGAGTTTCTGTAGCAATGCTTCCATCTGTCTCTACCAGCCGTCAAACCCAAAGCCAGGGCTCCCCCATAAGGCCTCAGACAACCAAGCTTCCGTGGAGCCTTTGTCACTGTACCCCTGTGAGAATCAGAGTGAACACGTGCCCTTGTGGACAGAAAACATACCTCATTCAAGCAGAATGGGCTATGTCTTACTTTCCCCTCAACTTTAACTTACAATTATTAATAGATGAGTGATATTTTCCAATAACTTAAGGACTAAAGAATGCCATCAGATAGCGATTTTACTCTATTGATCTACTTAAGTAATTTTCAACATACTTCCGCCCTTTTCTAACTTATTTAAGAGTATTAAGAACTTTGGGTACTGAGGCACACAGAAAAAGAAAACCCACTGTCACTGAGACAAAGATAACATACACTCCTCTTGGGGCAGATGTGCTCTGTGACCTTTAAGCAAAATCATTTTTTCTTGTCCATTTGGTTAAAGCTGTGTGTAAGAAAAAATAAGTGCCAACAATGTTGTTTTCAAGGATTTCCATCAATGTGATGGGGGAAGGTAGAAAGCAATGGTTAAGTTGCATTAAATGCCCAATGTGGATGGGGAAAAAAATCATGGCTATTTTATAGAGTGCTATTATGTTTCTGGTTATAAAAAGTAACAAATGATTACTTCATAAAATTCAGGAAATACAAACAATGGAAAGGGAAACAGAAATTATTCATAATTCCACCATGCAGAGATAATCACTAATAATGTTTTTGTATATATACTTCTAGACTTTTTAAGAAGAAACCTTTTATATGTCAAAGAAAGAGAGAGAATAATTGCACTAAAGGGAGAATAAACCATGGGCCACCACAGGCGCTCGGAGGCAGCCCAGGCTGGCTTAGAAAAGCCAGGGTAAGGGTGGCAGGCAGATATGGTTCAAGTCCAGCTCTGACACTTGCTGTGTGCTGGGACCTTGGGTCAGTCACTGAGTCTCTGTTATTCCCCATTTACAAAATTGAGAGTTAACTGGCGTATGGGGTTGTCATGGAGATAATGCATGAAAAGTGCTTACCACAAAAATTTGGCACCTGGAAAACACAGAACAGATTGGGAGAAGATCAGGAACAATATATTGTAGCATTGTTGTTTGGGGTCCATAAACCGTGATTCACCCCGGTCACAAGGAGCTCAGAATGAAGCACGCGTTCTCTTTAGATATCCAAGTCTTGAACAAGGGGCACTATTATGTCAGGGAAAGGATGGCCCAAGTCAAAACCATTGAATTGAGATCTAAACTAATTGCACGTTCACACCTCTAAGACTAACCCAAGGTTCTCACCTAAGCTCCAAATTAATTTTTCCAACTGCCTGTAAGAGGACATCGTTGGCCAGACTCAGTGGCTCAGTCTGTTATCCCAGCACTTTGGGAGGCTGAGGCAAATGGATTGCCTGAGCCCATAGGTTAGAGACCAGCCTGGGCAACTTGGCGAGATCTCATCTCTAAATCAAAAATTAGTCGGGCATGGCAGCATGTGCCTGTAGTTCCGGCTACTTGGAAGGCTGAGGTGGGAGGATCGCCAATGCTGGGGTGGCTGTGAGTGTGTCATTGCCCTCCAGTCTTACACTTAGTGAGACCCCAACTAAAAAATAAAAAAGAAGAAGAAGAAGACATCGTCTCCTGGATAGATCACAGCTGTATTCAACTCATCATGTCCACACTGCACTTATTTTATGCGAACATGCGTCTTCTTCTGTATCCCTCTCCTAGAGGACGTCACATCCGACCACTCACATCAGAAAGCAGAAAGCTGACCTATATCCCTCCCTTATATCTAGTCAACCACCAAGTCCTGTCTGCTCCCCTGCCTAGTATTTCTTGTTCTGTCCCTTATCGTCTCCTGTCCGAACTTCCTGTAAGGGTCTCCTAAATTACCACTCCTGCCTCCAGTATCAAACTCTCAATTCTTTCTTTTAACAAGAATCTGACCATATTGATCATCTGCTTAAACCCCCTTAATAGATTACCATGTGCTTGTGGGGAAAAGACCCAAGTCAGGAACACTGCAGAGTCTTCCATGCCCTGGACTCTGTGGATCTTGTCATCCCACAGTGCAGCAACCCCGTCCTCCTTGGCTTGGCTCCAGCCAGACAACAGTCTGCGTATTCACAGTACGTGCCAGGACTGTAACAAGCACTGGCAACACAACAGTGAGTAACATAGGCACGGCCTAGGCCTTGTGGAGTGCACAGCCTACTGAAAGACAGAGCTGTAAGTGAAAAAAAAAATGGGAAAGTACAACTGAGATCAAAGTAGAATATAGGACTATGAGTGTCCATAATAGAGGATTTGACCTGGAGTGAAAAGTTAGTAAGTATAGATTTCTCTGAGAAGCCACGTAGAGCTGTTACCGGAAGTCATTAACTTGGCAAAGGGTGGTGTTGGATGTACGTTAACTGTATATATATATAAATATATATATATTTATTTAAATAAATAAATATATATTTAAATAAATAAATAAATTTTTATTTAAATAAATAAATGTTTATTTAAATAAATAAATATATTTTTATGTTTAAATATATATATAATTTTGAGTTGGTGGTCTCACTATGTTGCTCAGGTTGGAGTGCAGTGGCCTGATCACGACAGTCACGCCTCATGGCAGTCTTGCACTCCTGGGCTCAGGTGATTCTTCTCCCTCAGTATCCCAAGTAGCTGGGACTACAAGCACATGCCACCCAGCCTGGTTAATTTTTTTATTTTTTGTAGATACGAGGTTTTGCTATGTTGCCCAGGCTGGTCTTGAAATCTTGGGTTCGAGCAATCTGCCCGCTGAATCCTCCCAAATATATTTACTATGATTTCTTATTTCTGTACTCTTGATGCTCTGGCGTCTGCGGTTCCACTGACTGGGAAGAGACCACCCTCCCCAGTGCTAGCCAGTTCTTAGAGACAGCAAAGGACTTCCATGTGCAAACTCACCAATCCAAGGTCCATACTCGAACCACCTCCTCTCTCTGGCTCCTGCACTCCAGAAGGCAATATTCCTCTGTCCTGATTAGCCCAGAGCTAAGTACCAGACAACCAGAGCCAACCCCTATCTCCCAGAGCTTAGCCCAACGAGCCACCTGTAAGAAATTATCCCAACGAGCCACCTGTAAGCCTGCTTACCCTGCCTTACTCCCTCTGCCTCCTCCCCAGCCCTGGAGTTTTCTGTGTGGCCCTGTACCTTCTTCTTGGGGACTGAGGTACAAACTACCTTTTTAACGGCATTTGCCTCCAGATTCGTTGGCCTCAGCATAACTCAATAACGAAACCTACATTGTAAAAGAGGATGGTGGCGAGATGGCAGTGACTGTTCCAGGCAGAGGAAGCAGCAAGTGCAAAATTCCTATGAATAAGGAATCACGTTTCCATTGTTTTGTCTGAACAGCCTCTCCACATCACCCTCTGTCACATTACTCTGTGTTATTTGCTTTTAGTGCGTATCACCACCTGTGATTACCGTCGGCATTTATTTGCCTACTTGTTTATAATGTGTGTGTCCTCTCCCCCTCTGCCCAGGTCCCAATAAGTTCTATGGTTTGTTCCCTTCTGTATCTCCAGAGTCTAGAACAGTGCCAGGTACAGGGTTGGGCTCAAGCCACACTTGCCGAATGAATGAACCATTTCATCTTTTCTACTTCGCTGTGCAAACTCACCGATCCAGGGTCCATACCGAACCACTGGCTCAGGTCAAACTAATCACTTCCTCCCTTGTGCTTCTACCCTGTCCTCTGCAGATATCCAGCATATCACTTGTCCCCACAAACACCCTTTGACTCCAGATCTGTCTGCCTTTACCAAAACTAAGCTTCTTGGTCGCAAGGATCATGTTTCACTTCCTGCATGTCCCTGGTATTCAGTAAGGAGCAGATGCTCAGTACATGTATGTAATGCAAGAATGTCCATGGGCTTTTTCTCTATAGTTGTAATTAAGCAGTAACAGAAATAGCCGGTGTCTTTCCAACATGTCTATCCAATTCTGAACCTCGTCCAAATTGGGCCACCTTTCATACCTCATAGACCTCCCTAATCTTCCCTTTCTCTTTCTCGCCTTCCTACACATATACACAAAGGCAAAGCCACTGGTCATTCCATTCTCTGCATAGGAAAGTTGGTAATAATGACTAGAGCTGAGTGTTCATGGACAAGTGTAGTCTAATCATTTTTCTGTGAGGAAAAAAAAAATGAATCCACTCCAAATTTCTTTTTTAGTCCAAGAGAAAATTATCTCCTCTATTAATTGGCTACTCAGAGCAAAG